GGCCACCCCGTCCGCGTTCCCGAGCGGGGCCACCCCTTTCCACCCTCCCTGCGTCTCCTCCCCTGCGGCGGCCGAGCTGCCCACCTCCCTCCGGGCGCCCCGATCCTCCTCCCGGGCTACTCTCCTCGGCAACTTTCCGCGCTTTGTTCTCCGGCTGCAAATGCGTTGCGGAAGCTTCTCGGACAGGGTCTCCGCCAAGCGGCCAGAGCTGCGCGCTGAGACGTGTGACGCGCTCATCTCCCCATCAATTATGGATGGAAACAAATCCGGAACAGTCGGTGCCGCTTGAGCCCCTCTCCGGAGCCGGCCGGGGTGTCCTGCAGCCGGGAGGGAACCGCGGCGCGCGGGTCATGGTGCCTTTCGGGGAAGGTAGGGAAACTTTTATTTCCCTGTCTTGACAGCGGGGATATGTTTGTCTGTGGTCTGCAAAAAAGGAGACAGCAGCCCACCTTGGGTGATTTGGGAAGGCTTAGAGCTTCCCCTAAATGTCATGGAGAACTCCTGGATTGAAAGGAAAGGTCGTAAAGGACCTGGAGGTGCGAACGAGAAATGGGGTTTGAGAAATTTATGCTCGGTGACGACCGGGACCGTGGCTGTCCGGTGATTGTTTAAATCCTGGGCTTGTAAAAAGCTAAACGTCATGGAGCTCTGGGCCGTGGTAGCCAGCTGTGAATTACAGCGTTAGAGGAACCCAGGGCTGCACGCAGAAATTCTAGCATCCCAGCGTCTCCTGGCCAGGCTCGCCGAGGGAACAGCGTACCATTATTGTGGATTCGTTGGGACACTTTGCAAACAGTAATTGGACCTTCTGTCCGCCACTACAGCGGCCTCTTTCCCTTGAAAATAACCGTAGTGTTTCCGGTTACTTTGGGGGAATGTCTGGGGCAATCTTTCCCAAACTTCTGGCTGGTAAGAATCTTAAGTCTGCAGCGAAAGAGGATGGGCATTGTGTTTGAAATGTCCTTCTCTCTGCTTAACGTGTGGGATGATAAAGTGAATTGCTTTTGTTTATTACAAGACTGAAGTCCTACGAAAAGGTTTAATATTTTTCTAAACTGGTGTGTTCTCTGACCCCCGGAATGGGAGACATATTCCTTCGGGGGAGATTTTCCAAGGGTTCTTTTTGTATAGTATTGTGAAATCTTGTTCAGACAGCTCCAGGGAGGATTTGACTGTCCTTTCAGCGGTTTTACACGATGGGTTGTGATGCTGGTTTATTAGTGCTGTTAAAAAGCAAATGCCCTCCCTGTCTTAAGTATCTTAGCTGAGGAAATGAAGTTGTGTGCAGTCGTGTTTGACCTCGTGAGTGGCAGGCGCATTCTGTCAAACTGGTAGATGTTACACAAACATCTACTCTGGCTTGGATAAATAGGAATGGTTAGATAAGCTCTTTAATTTGGTCTATATTGCAACAAACCCAGACATCTTAAGATAAATAAATGATAGCTCAGCCGTAGCTGAGTTGTTTTTCATAGTTAAGTGTTTCTGCTTTTGTTTAGGTCTCTAGAATGTGGCCTCTGGAAGACAGTTTAACAGAGGACCCTAAGATTCTCAAAATGTGCTTCTTCCATTGGCCCATTTAGTTGGATTAGCAACCTACTACCATTTCTAACTGGATCCCACAGAATGTCACCACCTAGACTCAATTCTAGAGGGATCCTACCTAGAGAACCTACTTTGAGGAACATCTGTGCGATGCAGGACGGTGTGCCAGGAATACGGTGACTTCCCCATCGCCAGACAGCTGGTTAACTTGAGTTTGATTTAGACTTGTGGGCATTTTGCCCGCTTTAAAAAGAAAATTCTCGGTGCCCTCCGAGCGCCATCTGGTCATGTCTCCCTGGTTTGATGGATCGGGAAGACACTGTGTCGCGAGACTGTGTGTCCTTAGAGTCCCAGCAACTTAGAAGTCCGAAGGGCTGTGGTCTGCTCGCTGGAGGCTGTGTGGGGCTCCATCCTGGGCTGTTTTGGGGAGAGTGGGCTTCCGCACCCACAGCTTGTGTGGTGCTTCCTGTGGCCACGAGCAAGGAAACGGAGCCAGAGCTCTGATTCCCACGGAGGCCCACAGTGGCTGAGGACCCGGAGAAGTTCTTCACTGCTTGCTACTCCACCATAATGAGCCCTGGTGATGAGCTTAGTCATTGCTCTTGCAGTGAGTTTCACTGAGATGCAAAGAGTGAAAAATGCATCTGAAATAGGGTCGTTTTTCACTCTTCTGATGCATTTTATGGGAGCTAAGAGCCTGGCTGCTTGCCTAGCCATTATTAGTGTAACCATAGGAGGCCAACTCCTTCCTTAGCATATTGTAAGATAAAGCACTGTCTTTTATTTCAATTAATAGGCTTTAAGTTTGCACATTCTAGATTCATTTCTCAGGAAGCAAGAGGCAAATGGAGCATGCCAACCAGGCAGTATTTACTGAGTACCTGTCCTTTGGCAGGAGCTGTGGTAGCCAGTGATTCAGCTCCCGGTGGGCAGGATGTGTTTCTGTATATTCACCATGAACAAGGGTAAAAAGAAATAGAGTAGCAGCAGCACAGATCACTTGGCAAGAATCAGAACCACACATCTTTCTTTTGAAGCACATTATTTAATCCTAGAGAGTTTAAAGCAAGATGGTCTTCACCAAATATTTACAGTGGTCCAGCCATCCTGCTTTTAAGACTAGAGCTGATACTGTATACTGTTGGTATAGTTGGTGTATCGAATCTGTCATTAGAGAGGGAGATGGGCAATTTCTGGGTCTTATGTGAACGGAGACTTAGTGTGAAAATCTACCAAAGCCTCCGGCTCGGGATGCCAATGGCTTCGTGAACAGCTGCCAACTTCCATGGGGGAGGGAGGGCTTTCATTTATTCCCGTGCCACATGGTGAGAATAAAAATCGCATAACTGTATTAAGCATACTGTACCACTTTACAGTTGAGGGGGCTGCTGTTGGCTCTTTTCCACCTCAGAGCCTGACCACAAAAGTGTTGAAACTGCTTCCATTTTTCCCAACAGGAAAATGACTAAACTTTCTTTGAAAAGCAGCCCTAAAGTAGCCAAGGCCATCCGATCTGTGGGCCTCCCGGATCCCCCATGAGGTGTACTTACTTCTCAAACTTTTCTCTTCTGTTAGGCTTTTGTTTACTCACCCAGATTAGCATTTTAACGACCCTGAAGTGAACTCCTGCCATTCCCTCTACTTGGACACAGTGTGTAGCTCATCCATCATTCTGTCCTTGGCTACAACAGGCTGCTGGCTGTGTCACCATTTGGAGCTACACAGAATCCATCCGACTGTGAACAGCACAGCTGGCTACAGCAATTTTTCCTTCCATACCACTGGCAGCGCTGCCTGGCTGTGGTAACTAAAGTTAACACCAAGAACAGGAAGTTTCCATCGTTCTGCAACCTGTGCCAGCCTCACATCCAGGGCTGGATGTGCACCTGCCCACAGGCCCTGCTGGCTTGCCCAGGCACGCTATACCTGGGAGGCATCTTCTCAACCTTCTGTGAACTCCCAAGGACTCTCCGGGCTTCATGTGACAAAACCACCAGAAACGCAGAGCTAGTGGAGCCGTTCAGACCCCCGTCACCCACACTCTGTGCAAAAGTGAGGAAAAGAATGAAGGCGCCTTAGTCTGGAACCCCATGTGGCTGAAGATGGAGGAAGACCTGCCTGGTGCTTTGCTATTGCTTCCTTCCTTTCCACAACAGACTCATGATGGAACGGAGTACAGATGTATGTCCATCAGCACCCATGCCTTTTAGCACTTTCTTGTGCTCTGTTTGCTCCTTTCTTTCTTAGTAAGCTATCCATGCAGCATGTGGGCGCCATTTTAGGAGAGATAGAGAAGCCTTTCCATTTGTTTTCTAAACTTTTATAACTAGGAATACTACTTCTGGAGTTTGACATGCACAAGAAAGACCAGCTCATGTCTTGGTGTCAGTTAGTTGGTATTTTATCTTGTCTTCCTCACACTGACTGATGAAATTAACCACAACACAGCTGGGAGGAGCAGGGGCACAACCACCCCGCCTAACCCTGATGCTATTTCTGCTCATTTGCGTCGAGACACCATCGTGCTTCTATCACGTACCCCTAAGAATATTGCATGAAATAGGTTCAGTTATTGTCACTGCTTTAGCAAAGAAGAAAGCATGCAACTGAACTTTAAGTCATTTTCTGATGGACACACAGTGGGGAGGCCCTGGAGTCAGGATTGTCGCTCAGGCCTTTGAACACATCCTTCACACTTTCACCGCTGCACTGGATTTATCATGGAAACACACCCCACTGTGTCATTTCTGTCCCTTTGCTATTTCTCACTGTGAATCATGTTTTGGAAGGGGAAATTTTTATATTGAATGAAGTATTACCTGGATGGGTGCATTCGTTCATCATAACCTTTTTTCTAAACTGAATCATTTTGTAGTATTCTTGCCTTTTTATTCCTGTTGGCCAAATAAAGGACACATTGTTCTTTTCAAGTATCACAGAAGAGTTCCTTCTCCCACTGTTTTTCTTCAGGTTAGGCTTCCCTGTCTAGGATTACAGTGGGATGGGACAAACGGCAATTTTCACCACTCTCTATCCAAAAGAGCTTCTGCGTCTGGGTGCGGTTGACATTCATTTCCTGACCCAGAAGATCTATTCTGTGCCTTCCCCTTTCCCAGGAGTATTTATGGGCCCCATCAGCAAAGACAGTGTGAGCCATTCTACCATAAGGCACTGGGTGGTAAGTGCACCCCTGATGTTGGGCTGTGTCTTTTACAGAACCACATATTTTACTTAGTGATAGTTGTAGGAGGCCCATTAACCTATAGGAGGAATCAGCCACATTGTGGAGAAATTGCCTCTCTTGCATTAGCATTTTTTTTGTTTATAGTTTGTGCTCTATTCAAGATACCTTGAGAGGGAACAAAAGGCCAAATACTCATTGCCACTCCACATAATGCTGAAATTTAAGGTTTCCAACATATATTTACGGGAAGGAAATAAGGGTTCTAAAAGTTCAATATGTTGGTACATGTATAATAAGGCCTCTGGAAGATATGCAATTACTCAGCCTATTATTGGAGTCTGTACTTAAAAATAAAGTCAGGACTTCCCACTCTACCGAGGAACGGTTGCACAGCCACCCGAGCAGATGAAGTTCTTTGAGAAAATAGCACTTCCGTTGCCAGGAGCAGGCTGTCAGCAAACCGGGGACCCCCACTCTTCCTCCCTTGGCCTCCCCACTTGCAAGGGGCAGTGTCTTTGTAAGTATTTTTGGTGTCTAGAGTTGCCTACACTTATTACTGAGTTCCCAAGCCTCCCTGGGCAAAAAAAAAAATCATGAAAGCTACAGGAGAAGAAAGAGTGGCCAGAAAACGGGTAAGGAA